CTTTCTTTTTTCTCTAGAGTTGAAAAAGTCATTTTCACACAACCCCACTTCTAATATTTTTCCTACCTCAAAAGTAAAAGCCAACCTATATACTACTTCATTTCAAGTCTTCCACCCTTTTTTCTCTTTTTCTTCTTCAAGGGAACCTTTTTCCTAGTTCATACATCTTTTTTACCTGCATGATAAAAGGTATGAGCAATGTCATCAGATCGAATAAAATTCGAATGTGTATACAAAATGGGACTTTAAATTCTTTCAAAAGAAAAAAAAAATGTAACATAAATCTATATATGCACGTGTGAAACGAACGATAATATAAATGTAAGACTTAATTTCATTCAAAACACGATAGTTTTAGTCAACGAAACATCGGTTTTACAACTTGTGTAAGAATTTTATGATCTTAAAAGTATATATAATGTCTCATGGTGAGACAGACAGCCTAAACTTTTTGTGACTAACATGATCTGGATATCATATTTTGACTAATCTTTGAACAACATAGTTTAATGTACCAAAAGTCCCAAACAATTTATCATGTCTTGGCTTGTTTCTTGTTTGTGCAAAGATTTATAACACACCATAAACACATGATATATGTAAATTTTGCTCTTAATAATTTGTGGGGGAACTTTCTGGTGATCATATATGTGTAGTGGTTAGGCAAAAATCCAGAGGATATACTGATAAAGATGTGTGGCACTTTGCCATGTCAAGTAAGGAACTGTAACTCAATAGTTTATTCTAAAGAATCATGCATATCTTAAAAGGGCAACCCCACCAATATTTTTTTTTTATAAAATGACAAAAAAAAGGTACACCCATTTGAGAAAAAGGACTAAACTAACCATGCCTCAAAAAAGATAGTTCCTTTTTTGAAAAAAAAAAAAATGCTGCAAAATTTATTGAGAATATAGAAGTGAAGCAACTTGATTCTTGCAATTCCAATGCACCCAAAAAATCACAAATTCTTGTGTTTTGACCGTCGTACTTTTTGAACAAAAATGCATATTTATACTGATAAACTGTCATATTTTTGTTTATGTTGTTTATTTTTAAAGTATGTCACTTATGTATGAAAGCATGCATATTTGATTAAATAAAAAAAAAATCCGCCTAACAACAGATTTACCGCCAGAAACATATATCTTTGTAAATGAGAGAGAGAGAGAGAATGCCATGTTCAAGAATGCCACAGTATAGATACATGGCCTATGTTCATGAATCAAGAGCCAAATATAAACAAGATCCTTCTAAAGTCTCTTCCAAAGGCCAAACATTCTTTGGACAAAAAAGACTATAATAACCTTTATAATCCTCCAAGAATCAGTGTCGGTGGACCGAAAAACAGTGTTATGCTTCGACCTCTTTCCCCACATTACCCTGTTTGTCTTAAATTCCATTTTTACCTCACTATTGCAACAACCTATTCATTCTGTGTTTTTCCATTGTCTTTGAATCACTAAAGAAAATGACATGACAGCCAAATTGGGGACCATTTACCATCTCAATGTATTTACAAGTCTGACTATCAACAACATTATAGTTTTGTTAAAAAAAAAAAAACATTTACAAGTCTGACTATCGCGACGTGATTTGTGAAGAAATGATTAAAAATATAAATATAGTTGTTAACTATACAAATAAACCCTTGATGTTTAAGAAAAACCAACTAACATGCATAGCTATATAAGCCTACAAAAGATAAGTCTTGCATTTTAGTCTCTTTCATTAGCATAAAAAAACATTTTAAAACTAAACTTCCCTTCACATTTATATTCTATCAATACTAAATATACGAGGAGAAGAGAATTCGGGCATACCGTTTTTCCTTTCCTCACATTGAATGGATATTTTGATTAACTGCTTTAGGGATGTTTTTTAAGGATGTTTTCGGGTGGCTGCTTGCTTGAATGCGACAGTTGGAGCTATACGGTTACTTCTTCGCTGATGCTCTAACACAAGTTGCTCGGCAAACCAGTCGAGTTTTTCAAAATTGCTTTGTTCGCCAATTCGCTTGCCACTAAATAGAACAGACTCTACGTTTTTCTGTTTCAGCATCTCATCAGCTATCTCAATCAGAGCTTTTACATTGCTTGGGCTTGGATCAGAGTCAACGTTGACCCCACATCTAACGGAGCTCGAACCATTTGCCTTTTAATTAAACAAAAGAAAGGACTA